CCATAGGGTCACTAGAAGCAGGATCAGCTCAATGGCAGTGAGTTCTGGTTTTGGTTACCCAACAAATAGTTTTGAGGATTAAATGAGGGCCTAGAAAGCTTTAGTGAAATAATCTGGTACTAAAATTAAAATAGCACAGTAAAAAATTAATAATAACCCTTTGCCATTGAGTTGATTCTGACTCATAGGGACCATATAGGACAAAGCAGAATAGCTTCAAAGGGTTTCTGAGACTGTATATACTTATGGGAGCAAACAGCTTAATTTTTCTCCTTAGTAGTGGTTAGTGATTTGAACCACTGACCTTGAAGTTAGCATCCCAATGCTTAGTCCACTGAGCCACTAGAGCTCCTTGTTTAAAATACCTGTTACTACTATTATATATTAATAATACTAACATAGTTACCTAGACCATCTCTAAAAAAGGGTAACATCTGAATTATTACTCTCACATTTTGTGTAAATTAAATGGTAGAGGGAGTTGCTTTATTTTAATTCCATTAACTTATTATTTCTCAGGAACATTGTCTTGGATGAACTTCATTCAAGTAAGAACTTAATGTCACTAGATTACTCTTGAAATTAGCAAAGCTAAAGCATAATCAATCTCCACAGTCTACTTTGTTGTTTCCCCAAATGTATTCCTTCTGCGGTATTTATTATAGTGAATATTGTCTAGGAAAACTGTTTTATTCTTCTGCTAGCCTCAATGACTTCTCTTATTTCTTAATCTTATTTGTTTCTTACTTACTTTTCACTAAGTTCTACTTTGATCTTACAGATTGTAGCCATATAGGAATGTTATAAATGATAAAGATTTCTTACTTCCAGAGTAAAACTACAGCAAATGAAATGCCAAGTGATGAGAAAGTATACTTTTCACATTCTTGTTAATAAAAACTCAGAGCGAGTGAGAAAATGAGCTCTTTGAGGTCAAATTATTCTCCAACGGAATGTGGTTCTATGATTTTGCTTAACATAGCAACAGCTCAATAAAAAGAAACTATTGCTCTGAGCTTTTCTTGTCACCAAAAAGAACAATTAGCCCACATGAGCCATAATAGAGCCTTTCTACTAGTGTTGAATCCACCCAAAAAAGCTTTATGTAAAATTGACATACGGTATCTTACCCATTTGCTTTGAAGTTGTGGTGTTTTTATTTATTTCACACACAAAAAAAAAATGTCTCACAGGGGTCGCCTGATGCATAACCGTAGCAAATTACAGTTATGAAGTAGCAACGAAAATAATTTTATGGTTGGGCGGTCACTACAACATGAGGAACTGTATTAAAGGGTCGCAGCATTAGGAAGATTGAGAACCACTGCTCTGTATCGATATAAAGAGGCAGCTAAACTCATCAGTGGACACAGGCATGGCCTTAGCATATGCGTTAATGTTATAACCATGCTGAATTTTCAAATTATATCTTTCCACCCTTGTCAGTAACTCAGGAAGCCATTCCATGACCCCTAGAAGTCCTTTTTGCCATACTCATTTGTTAGGATGGCTTTCATTCCATTCATTAGTCTCTTCTGTGTTATACCACCTCCCCCAAGCAGTGTTTTGATAAAGAGCATGCTTTGGGCAATGCCACAAGGCTCTCTACCGCTCTCTACTTCTCCTCTACCTCTCTCTTCCTTGACTCCTTTCATTTCTCCCCATCTCAATCATTCTCCCCCTTTTTCATCTCCTCTGCCTTTTCCTTAGGGCTTCCAGTACTAAGCTGTGGCACCTGTGAACATTGCTAACCCTAGGACCTAGAGTCTAGGTGTAAAGAGGTTGCTAACTTGCTGTGGATCGCAAGCGTTAGCCAGTATCTTTCAGAAACTGTGGGATAAAACTCCAAACTAGTTGGAGGACTACTTGCTTTAAGGTATGTGGTTTGAATAATCCAGGTAGTAATAAAGTGACAGACATAGGAACAATTAAGGAAGAAAAAGAGGGACTAAGGAAGAATGCATCTTTAAGAAGAAAGCAGAAATCCAGGGGTGATATAACGGGAAGACCTGCACCTAATAAACCCAAAACTGCATTCAGGAAGGTGTGAATTTGAGAAATAAAAGGAGAGAGCATTGCATATTGCAAATTAGAATTAATAAACTCTTAATGTTTTTGAAGATGTACTTCCTCATACTGAACAAGCTGATCACCTTCTTTGTGCTTTCACCCCTTCTTATAGAGAAGTGGGCTGCCATTGTCTCAAAATCTCTCATTGTTAATAAAGGCAAAAACAGTTCAGAATCCCAAGTTCAGCAATCTGCTGAAGTTCAATTCCAAAGGCTTATCCCTTCAGAACGTATTTTGGAATCATTTGAAGAAGGGAGAGATTTTTAAGAAACCAGGAATTCAGTAGAGATCCATGTATAAAATACAAATCCTATATATCTATAAGGATATATACCAAGTGAAATCTTTGCCATTTGTATAAATTCAATTTAATTTTTTTTCTTTTTACATCCTGATATAAGGACCCTTCAAAAAATTCATGGAAACATGTAACTAAAAGATAATGGAATGTTTCCAAAATATATATGCTTATGAAAATACAGAAAATCAAAAAGAACATTTTTTAATTACTCATTATCTCACTGCCTAAACACTGTCAACAAAATTAACATTTTGTTGTTCCTGCAGTTACATTGAATGCTAAAATCCCAGGTAAACATTCCGCAACTTTTCTGATGTAGGCTAGCTAGTTCCTTTTCATTAGCAAAAGTAATGTTCCAGGGTTGCTGATTTCTTCATTACATCCCCTTTGGCCAGAGCTGGTTCTCCAACTCTTTTTTTTTTTAATAGATCATTTTATTGGGGGCTTTTATATCTCTTATAACAATCCATAT